TTTTGCTTTTGAATTCCTCCCAATACGTTATACATCTTTTTCACATACAAAAGATTGACAATTAATATTTGGACTTCTCAGCTGTTTAACGCATTACTCGTTTGATTTATCGTGTATTATAGTGCGTTTCATCTATGTTGATGTGAATGGATTCATATGTAACAATCATGTTTAACTGTTGGCTTTAGGTGAACATCAATATCAAATGTTTGGAAATACAACGCTTTACTAGCGTATTTTTGTTTCTCAAATAAAAATGACTTACAAAAATATTAGCATTTCTACTTAGTTTATTTAATTCACTCTGATTACATTTAGTTTATGATTTTCAGGTTATTCTTACAAATCAAATTACAACTAAATTCGATGCGAAAAATCTGAATTCAGAACAATTTGATTGTGTTATAGAAGAAGAGAAAGTTGTAAAAGAGCAATGCAAAATCGATCAAAATTCATGTCTAGTACCGGCACTTGGAGATAGTTGGGGGCATATTTGTTCTCTCCGTGTTTTCTTGACACGTCTAACTACAGGCATTCGTCAAGTAAAACTGCTGAAACATCCTGGAAGACCATATGGTGTTGGATATTATCAAATTACAGTAGGTTAACACAATATTTTCTTGGGTTATTAGCGCTTGTAGTAGTAGTATTGAGACATAATTTTGTAGATGGAACGGAACTTTGTATTTATTAACAAACAAACACCGGTATAAGGTTATGCTACACTTATTCTTATAATCTATAAATACTTTTTTATACCAAACACTTTTGTGATGGCTTCCTCCGTGATGATTGGTATTTATTGATCAAGGAAGAAATGTGATAAAGTAACCGAATAAAAACTTTTTATTCACCAACATCAAATATGTAGCGTCATTATATGGTATTGTTGTTTCTTCCAACAGTCGAATCTCACTTCATCTTGCTGTTCACATTAAGAATTATTACTCCTCTTTTTGATGTAACTCATTCATGAAGTATACGTTTGAGTATTTTGCTTTGAGTTACACTTTTTTGTGAGAGCTAGTAATAGTGCAACTCCGCCTGTAGCTCTTCTAGAGTTACTGCCGGTCCCAAGCCCGGGTTAACGAGGACGGTTGGACATGGGGTTAGCGTCCCCATCCCGTAGAAAACTAACTCGCTAAAAAAACGCTTACCAGAAAAAATAATTCAAACCATTTTAACTCTGCCCTGAGAGTTAGAAGGTCTTCATTTAGAAGAATTATGACGCTTCATGGTGAAAGCCGAGTTCCTTCGGAAGCCACGAGGCCGATGCCCCTTCTAACAACCAGAGCAAAAATTTTTATAGGTACATGGAACGTTCGAACAATGTGGGAAACCGGGAAGACCAGCCAAATAGCAACGGAAATGAGGAGATACAACTTGGCAGTACTGGGAATCAGCGAAACCCACTGGACCCAAGCTGGACAGAAAAGGCTAGCTACGGGAGAGATGCTGCTATACTCCGGTCACGAAGAGGAAAATGCTCCACACACTCAGGGAGTTGCTCTAATGCTGTCCAAAGTAGCACGAAATGCACTTGTAGGATGGGAATCCCACGGATCCAGAATCATCAAAGCATCATTCAAAACAAAGAAGGAGGGGATCTTAATGAATATTATCCAATGTTATGCACCCACCAATGATAGCAACGACGACATTAAAGATCAATTCTACGAGCGGCTGCAGTCAATCATAGAGAAATGCTCAAAAAAGGACCTCACCATTCTGATGGGAGATCTCAGTGCCAAGGTCGGAACAGACAACACTGGATATGAAGATATTATGGGACGACATGGACTGGGAGAGAGGAACGAAAATGGAGAAAGATTTGCAAATTTGTGTGCATTCAACAAATTAGTCATAGGAGGCACAATATTTCCACACAAACGTATACACAAGGCTACATGGATCTCACCGGACCACACTACAGAGAACCAGATAGACCATATTTGCATCAACAAAAAATTCCGAAGGACAATGGAAGATGTGAGAACCAGGAGAGGAGCTGACGTAGCTTCAGACCACCACCTAGTTGTAGCCAATTTAAAACTGAAGCTAAAAAAGAACTGGACAAGTGGACAAACAGCACTACAAAGGTTCAATACAGCCTTCCTTCGAGATACTGTCAAACTCAATGAATTCAAGATAGCTCTCAACAACAGGTTCCAAGCCTTTCAAGATCTACTGAAGGAAGAAGAAACTACCATGGAGGACAACTGGAAAGGCATCAAAGAAACATTGACTTCAACGTGTCAAGAGGTTCTGGGTCTAAAGAAACACCATAATAAGGAATGGATCTCTATAGAAACACTGGATAAGATCAAAGAAAGGAAGAACAAGAAGACAGCAATTAACAACAGCCGAACACGAGCAGAGAAAGTCCAAGCACAAGCTGAATACATAGAAGCAAACAAGCAAGTGAAGAGAAGCATTAGAGCCGACAAGAAGAAATACGTTGAAGAAATAGCAACGACGGCAGAAAAAGCTGCTAGAGAAGGAAACATGAAACAGCTTTACGATACAACGAAGAAATTATCAGGGAAATACAGTAAACCAGAGAGGCCGGTCAAAGACAAAGAAGGCAAGCCAATCACTGAAATTCAACAACAGCGAAACAGATGGGTAGAATACTTCGAGGAACTCCTGAATAGGCCGGCTCCAATGAATCCACCGAACATCGAAGCAGCACACACAGATCTTCCTATAGAGGTCAACTCACCAACGACGGAAGAAATTAGAATGGCCGTCAGACAAATCAAGAACGGAAAAGCAGCAGGACCCGACAACATACCAGCTGAAGCACTGAAATCAGACGTCGAAGTAACCACAAGCCTGCTTTACCCTCTATTCAAAAAGATTTGGGAGGAGGAACAAGTGCCAATGGACTGGAAAGAAGGACACCTAATCAAGATTCCAAAGAAAGGAGATCTGAGCAAATGTGAAAACTACAGAGGCATCACACTACTGTCAATACCAGGGAAAGTCTTCAACAGAGTGTTGCTGAACCGGATGAAGGATGCAGTAGATGCCCAACTTCGAGATCAACAAGCTGGATTCCGAAAGGATCGGTCGTGCACAGACCAAATTGCAACACTACGGATCATCGTCGAACAATCAGTTGAGTGGAACTCGTCACTGTACATCAACTTCATTGATTATGAAAAGGCATTCGACAGTGTAGATAGGAGGACATTATGGAAACTTCTTCGACATTACGGAGTTCCTGAGAAGATTGTCAATATTATCCGGAACTCATACGACGGACTACAGTGCAAAGTAGTGCATGGAGGACAGCTGACAGATGCATTCCAAGTAAGGACCGGAGTCAGACAAGGCTGTTTACTCTCTCCCTTCCTCTTTCTTCTGGTGGTCGACTGGATTATGAAGACCTTGACATCTGAAGGAAAACACGGAATACAATGGACAGCTCAGAATCAATTAGACGATCTGGACTTCGCAGATGACCTAGCCCTCCTATCACGTACACACGAACAGATGCAGATGAAGACAGCCAGTGTAGCAGCAGTCTCTGCATCAGTAGGCCTCAGCATACACAAAGGGAAAACTAAGGTCCTCAAATTCAAAGCGGAGAACAGCAATCCAATCACTCTTGATGGCGAAACTCTGGAAGATGTAGAATCCTTCACATATCTGGGAAGCATCGTCGATAGACATGGAGGTTCAGATGCAGACGTAAAGGCGAGGATTGGCAAAGCAAGGGCCGCATTCCTACAATTGAAGAACATATGGAACTCAAAACAACTTTCAACCAATATCAAAGTGAGAATCTTCAATACGAACGTCAAGGCAATTCTACTGTATGGAGCTGAAACTTGGAGAACTACAACAACCACAATCAAGAAAGTACAAGTATTTATAAATAGCTGTCTACGCAAGATACTCAACATCCATTGGCCGGATACCATCAGCAATAGCCTTCTGTGGGAGAGAACAAACCAACTTCCAGCTGAAGAGGAAATTAGGAAAAGACGATGGAAATGGATAGGACATACATTACGCAAATCGTCAAACTGCATCACGAGGCAAGCCCTAACTTGGAATCCTGAAGGGAAGCGGAAAAGAGGAAGGCCAAAGAACACATTACGTCGGATAATAGAAGCAGATATGAAAAGGATGAATTACAACTGGAAGGAGCTGGAAAGTATTGCCCAGGACAGGGTTGGATGGAGAATGCTGGTGAGCGGCCTATGCTCCTTCACGAGGAGTAACAGGTGTAAGTAAGTAAGTAAGCAAGTAGTAATAGTGCGTGTTGTGGGATTAAAATCTAAAAAGTAGTTGAAAGATGAATGCTATGATCACACTAAAGCTACTGTTTCGCTATAATTTTAAGAAGTGATAGATTAAAACTAAATCGCGCACTATACATGAAAAAATCACATAATGAGAATATTAAAAAAAACGACTAAGCTAGAGATCGAAGTGTGGAAAACTCAATTTATTTTGCGTATCTGTTCTCAGTATAGCAAAATTATATTCATTGGATAATTTCTAAATGCTTAAAGGTTTATGTACAGTTACTAACTAATTTTTACATAGAGGGTAACGTGATGTAACGACATGAACATATATATCTTTGCGAATTGAATTTCATATTGATGCTTTTTTATCAAACAACGATTACATCATAATTAGAAATGTTCTTTATCTCTTGTTATTAATTAAAATAACAAATAGTTACTATTCAACAATAAAAACATAACATTTCTGAATAATCTACGTACTGTGCTTATTTTTCTATAAATACACTTTAATACAACATCCTCATTGTATTTTTTTCCTTCTGTTTTCAGACTGGTGGTATTCGTGATCTTGTTCAAAACAATAAATGTAATAAACACTTGCCAGAGTAATCAGTTTTGTTTTAAAGAATACAAATAGCTAAAAAACAATAGACAATATTTCATTTTTGCTTCCCAAATCACACACTGTTGACAACAAAGACACTTATTTGAGAAAAAGGTATAAAATATTTTCTATTTCTACTCTCGAGGGTCTATGCGTTTAATTTAGTGGTAGTGAAGAAAAAAACCAAAACACGATTTCACACTATATATATTTTTTTAATCTGCCGATTGATGAAGGCGACTAAAGAGGTAAATTAATTCCGCTTACACATAAATATAAGATTAAAAAACAAAACCTGAGCATGAAGTACGTATCATCATCATAATTAAAAAGAATAAATAAACAAATATGGTAGCTGAAATTTCTTACATCACTAGTTATGTGTTATATAACGATCGTTGACTTCTACCATTTCACTCAGTACACATGCAATAACTCATTGGATTGCTTGAAAATACTTTTATTAAATATATTATAATAAATATTTTTGTAACAAAAAAGGCAATTAGGGAATATTTGAAAAGTAGGGAGGCAAGAATTTAATCGACATTTTTAATAATTTTTATATGTAGCATGTCACAGATCGTTAATTTTGACATTCAAATTAAGTAGGAATTCAAGAGTAGTCATCTATAAAAGCGGAAAGTTCTAAGATAAATACAATAACGACATACATCAGCAAATATATAAATGTATATATCACTGATAACCAATTGATTATTGTTTCCATTAGTTCTATAAGTAAAGTGGACTTTAAAATGAACATGAAGGTTAATTCACACCAGAATAATATTATTATAATGAATGTTGGTTGGAAGATAAGTAGAACAATTAGTTGTATACAACCGAATTGTGTTAGATATATAAGAACAAGAAAGTGAAATTCATCACATCAGCAAATACACACATAAAAACAAAATCACTTACATAATAATCTCTATCAGCCTGAGTTGAATTCGGCCTGGAATATCCAACTATACGTCAACTTTTCAAGAGATTCAAGAGAGTTCATCGATTAATATTGATAAATGAATCATTACTATTTAAATAAATACGATCCAAATCGAATAAAGATAAAACCACAAAAAAGCAACACGACTAGATTATCACATTTATTGAAAATAATAAATATATTGGTGTATTTCTTACAATGTAAATGTTTAATTCTCATAGTAGATATTTCCCTTATTATTAATATATTCATTTTCTATTGGAATGAATTGCGAGAGAACAACATTTAATGGAAATAGATCAGAATTCTAAACAATAAATGTGAGAAACCCATCAACGGACAGACGACTAGCGGAAAATAATAATCAGAGTTCAAATTCTTTCTGTGATAATCTCAATCTAGCTGTTTTTAGATCCGATAAACTTTCGTTATATGTAGTTGCTTGTAATAATGGCTCAGATATATCTTTCGATGAAAGTGGTTGACGTCCACCTGTTACAACTGTTGTTGTCAGTGGTTGCGTTGTAAGGTGTTGATTAGTGATTGTTTTCAGTTGACAATTTTGTTTATTAATAGATGATTGAGAATTAGTAAATGAAGCAGGTTTTGATTGATTATCAAGTGTGTTTTTAGATTTACGTTGTAATGTATTAATTATAATTGGATCATTTAAAGAACACATTGGTCCTTCATAAGTCATTGTTTCAAGTCGGGGTTCGGAAATGAATGTAGTTGGCTTTATAGGTGTAATTTTCGAGTGTAAATGTTGTTGGTGATGTTCAAAAGCGGTGGAGAGATGTTGATTATCGAATTTAGTAAACTTCAGGTGACTAGTTGGGATTGTTTCTTTATTATCTTCCTTGATGATGCAGTTTTTATCTAAATAAAAGTATTAGAATACTAGCGTCAGAAATTAATTAAGTAATTTAATTACATGCAGGAGAATATTATCATATGTTCCGTCCGGTAACACATAAGATGGAAAAAGATCAAGCATAAGTTTTGAGTTAGTAATCCATTTTAGGCCCCCGAATCCCTGATACGGCCGAGAGTGGGGAAAATCCGCTCTCCCTCTTAAAACGCTCTCATTAGGTTGCGCGCATAAAGTTATTAGCAGGGAAATATTACTCATTGCCTTTTCGTGGTGGGGGTGCTGTTTACTAAATTGAGAGGATGAAAAGGGGATGTCCGGAGCTTTAACCGGGTTGGTGAATACGGACGCCTACCTAGCGGCGTCGGAAAACCCTGATTCCAAACCAATGGTGCACATCGGCTCCAGGATCTTAAGGGAACAAATGGTGTATGAACCTACTCCTGGTCACCGGATACCATCGGGATGCATCCCGAGCGTTGCTACACTACCTTATGGATTAGGCCTCTAGGTCAGGATCAGGGAGTGCCCCTTAAAGAAACTACATGCTTCAATTTGGGGACCCGGATAGTATCCAAGCCTATACACATTCAAAGATTTGTATGAGGCATGGATATTGTGGTTCCACTTTATGCTATTTTTTGTGTTTAAAATATATAAAAAGTGATCCATTTGAAATTAATTTACATTATGAAGTGAAGTTTAATGATAGACCATGGGAAGTTTTTCGTTACCTAGATTAAAAGTTATTCAGATGTAAACTGATACCTCAGACTCGAGACATTCGCCAGTTTAAACAAGAATCTGTGTAGCGTTGAAGAATAAATACTCAAGACCAATCGAGTTTGTTGTGACAGATAAATAAATAGTCAGTGGGAAACAAAAATATAAGTAAGGACCCTGAGCCTTGATGTTTGGAGGAGAAAATCTCATGAGAAGTAAAATAAGTTAATCAAGTAAGGGTAAACTAATGGATTATCTAATAAGAAATTCTAAAGAAACCACTTGCGGTCTGATAATGATAAACAAAAAGTAGAATTTGTTGATTACTATTGGATATATTTACAGCTTGTTTCACCGTACTGTCTTAATCTTAGCATATAATATTTTAATGTATCGCATTGTGACACAAAATATAAGTATCAACTTATTAAAAAAAATTAAATGATCATTAGGTGAGACGTTATCTTTTTGAATAGACTGAGTTAAATAGTCAACTTATATGTCTAGCAGTTGAGAGTCCTTTAGAAAAATCTGAGTTACTGATTAAAAAAACAGGTTTCTTTTAACTGAATGTAGTTCACTCCCTTGTTGTACAGTGTTTTTAAACAAATTAATGTACCTTTTCTCTTCCATTTGAAAAGTGTAAAACCATACGCTTTGGATTTTTCTACTCTGTAATCGAATACGTGTTCCAAGCCATATTTTGTTATTTTACCTTTCATCAGCTACAGAATTATTTTACGTCATGGATTAAAGGAAAGAAAAAGGGTAGTAAGTAAGAACCAATATCTCCTTTTATTCTACTGAATTTCAATGTTTTTTTTAATTAGACAAGATGTTGTTGCTATTGTACATGTTCATCATTTTTTTCCTCTTTTGGTTGCTATTATACAAAAGAACGTTTCATGTCACTCATTCTTGAAAGGAGTGCTTTTTTGTATTTTGAAGCTTAAAATCTAATTTAACTTTATTTCCTCGAAAGAAGAATGGTTCTCATCATCAGCATAGTTTAAAAATGTATTTCTTTTTAATTATTTGGAAGTGCTGTTTACTATGGTAACTTGTTTTTATTTGAAATCAAAGTGACATTTTTGGAAGTGTCAAGTAAACCTTATGTGTCTCATAATTAATATAATATGTTTCCCCATAAGTTTAGATCTAGACTTTTTCCGTCTTATTTTAACTACTGTGTTTATTGAGTGCGATTATTTCAATCTGAGAGTTGTACACTGCGAGGTATATATAATCGGAGATTGACCATGGAATACTATGTGATAAATATTACTCTTCTGGATATATTAATTTAAACAATATGGGATTCTCGCAGTATTTATCTTATTATATACTTCACAACTGTACCATTTCTAGAAATCAAAGTTAGAATTTCTCTTTTCGAACCTGTGGGGTGATATTTGTTTGCTGCTTTTGTGCTATTTTCTGTTGATAAATTAGTGAACAAGGTGTTTTGTGAGCAAGTTGTTTTGACTCCACTGAAATTGGAAGTTGTTTTCTTAGAGGGCACTGGTTCAAAGCTGACTGTTTTTGGTTTAACTGGTCTGTAAGAACCGTTTGATAGTTTACCATTGGATGTGACATTGCAGTAACCATTGGTTTGACCGTTGATGAATCCCTTATTCTCTGTGACTTTTGAATCGAAGGCTGCGAATGCAAGTAAGGGGTACGGCTTTTCGAGTCTATCACTTTGTTTTGAATTTTTGGCTTTGTCATTTCTAAGCAGAGAAAAAAACGGAATGATAGTAATTATTATTCCTATAAGTTTTCAAAAAGAACAACCAATACAACGTTTTCCCATGCAATCACAGTTGGATACTAATGCTTTATAAATTATTAAATTAAACCAATACCTTGAAATTACAGTATAATGACAAAATTAATGTTTAAATCGAATCACATGAGAAAGTCGGGTAATAAACCGTGATATTTTAAAATTGAAAATTATAAATTAGGTCAGATTTTCAATAATAAACCAGTTTCAATGTTGTAGGATGTTTTAAATAAGGAATAGAAAACAATATTTGCAATTAGGGAACATTCAAAAAACGATTTACTTATTTCTTGGTTGAAAGTAATGTGTTGTCTAATTATAAAATACGTTTTATATCTGGTAATAATATATTTAGCACTGGTTTATAGTTAAAATGGTGAAATGAAATCAAAATTTTAAAGTTTCTCATATTTTAAAATGTAAAAAGGAAAAAATAGGTTTCTTTTAAAACCGGAACCCTAGGAAAATTGATTCAGTCAATATTGATTTCTATTTTCCTATGTTTATTGTATGCTACTGAAAAATAAGAAAGGATGGCTTAATGACCAAAGTATAACTCGTAAGTGCTTAAACTCTACTCAATCCACGTTAGAGGCAGTCACAATGAAGCAATTTCACGCATTCTTTATCTTTCTCCAGATTTCGAGTTTTAACCTTTTTGAACACAATTTTCAGTCTTTTCTATTATTAATGGTACATTATTTCGATGTCGTTTGCTATTCATCTTGCCATGTTAATAAGGCATGTCAACTTGGGCTGACATACATCTGTGCCAGGTTCTAAGTTGATTATGATTTACTGAATAGATCCATCAGAAAATTGTGTAGATACAAAAATTTTGTCTAACAGAAAAACATTATGAAAAAGTAATATTTCGAAGTGAATTTCTAAAAAGGTATGAGAAGAAATTTCATACATATATAATCACTCATTAAGGAATGAATAGAAAAAATAAATTCATCAGTGAATTATTTCAGCATGCAAATCATGGATGATGAACAGAAAGAAAAATGTGTATAGGATAAATTATTTTTGTATATTCACTAAAATACAATCATTGTTTGTCTGAATAAGAGAAAGAACTGTTAATTCTAACTCGATATTATCATGGAATAAATCGATCAATATATCAATGTGAATTTTATAGATGAAAATTAACCCTACTAAACAATAATTTGTTGTTATGATGATGATTACTTGATACAATGATTGTATTACTACCATCGATTACTGTTGTACGACTAGATCTTGTGAATAGTTCTGTGAAAGAGGCTAGGAAACTGGAAAATATTTTTTTTCAAATATGTAAATGGATGAGAAAAAAACAAGTTACAAAAAGGAGTACCAAAATAGTTATTTAAAACAACAACAGTAGAATATAATATTCAAGTATGTATGAATAAAGGTTATACACATAAGTGGATTTATTGTTGTTGGAAATGTGTAATAACTCAGTATTCGGTGGTAGTATGGGAACTGTGAGATATGAAAGGTCATGGATTCGACCCATGATGGGTTTATTAGTGTGTACTTCATGGGAATTCCAACGAAAAGTCCGTCCGATAAGCTATGATTTCCAACAGTTATCCATATAGTATCAGTCCCAAATTCTACAGGAATTACTTTTTGATTGTTGTGTGAAGACTTTCAAATAGGGTGAGTGAATTGATGAGGCCGATAGTCTTAATCAGTAAAGGTAACTGGCACATGTCTTACACATCACCAGTGAACACCTAGCTATAATTGTAAAGTTGGTTAGCCTAGGAATGGTGTTGTAAGAAAACTATAGATAGAAAAACTAAGATATGAGATAGATCTATGAAGTTATTGACCATTTAAAAGAGCCATACTTATAGGTGTAGCCTACCTGGTTGAAGTCCATGGGCTACCCATGACCAGTGTTTGGATATAGTGGGTGCTATCGGTCAGAATCGATCACTGTAGCGTAAATTTTTATCTTACTTTCATTCTTGACTATCACTATCACTTCATATTTTTCACTTCTAGAATTCATCCCTTCCTTTTTAACAGTATTCTCTAATGCTCAGTCCTTCTCATTATCACTCATACAACTATTATTTAGATTTTGTTCAATTCTTTCTGTCAATTTTACCCGGCCGCGTTGATATGGTATGGGAACAACTTAGGCTAACAAACATTTGTACCGGGCTCTGTGTTGATTAAAACTGATTGACTTTCCAATGGGATATGTATATATTTGAGTCTATTAATTATTAGTCTGAGGAATAACACTATTAGATAAATAAACAAAACATTCACCTGAATAGTTGACAAAAGCATTCTGTACAATTTTTATCACATGGTTTACGTAAACCACTACTTGTATAAATAAACTCCTTTGATGTGCTCACTAAACATCTACCAGAACGTATAAATACATAGTATACGCCAAATCCAATGAGAGGTAAAATCACAAAGAAAAGGATGCATATTACAACAAGTAATGTGTTATCCTTGATCCCTTGAAAGTAAAAAAAGGAAATATGTAAGATGAGTTTAGATAGTGGATATATAAGTGATTTCACAAAATTGGTAGTCGCCCAATTCTTACACTAATGAACAATTAATATAAGTGTATTAATGGAAGAAATTACTAAATTAAGGTGGGGGAATTGTGCGGTTTAGTTTATTCAAAACACTTCCTCTAATTTTTATCGTCCAAGAAAATTGCGTTTGCCAAGATTAGGTCTACGCTATTAACAGTCTAATGATACTACTTCGTTTCTCAAAAGATAACTGAATAGAGAGAGATTATAAGCTCTTGATTTTTTTAAAAGAAAGAGGACTTTATCTATTAAGCAGTTTCTCTAGTATACAAGAGTGTCTAATATAGATAGCCACTTAAAAACTGTTAGCTCGACTCTACGACACATTCCCAATATCTTTCAGCTACTTAAATGGACACAAGTAGTTAGATGGAATATAATCAATTATTTGTGTAAATGCACAAAAAGATTAAACTATTGTGAAAACTAAGTTTCCGACCAGTTACCACTTTGTTTTACTTTTTCAGCATTCTGATGTATAACTGTTTGAAACTTTAAGATGATCAGTATTCAAACGTATTAAAGTTTACTGTATCCTGCTTAAGGTAATGGAAATAGATGATTTATATCAAGCTTATACAGTCAAATAAATGACAAATATATTTTCAGATATCCCAACGAGTAGAAAACTGAATTTCTGACGTTTCGTGATTTAACGTGAGTCACTTCTTCGAAGTGAACAACCATACTGATCGAGCGTTAGTGGTAGAGCAAGGTGATGTGGACATTTATTTTAATTTTATGTTGTTGACAAGTGACCGGCTGATTTATAATTGTGTTGTTTTTCTTCATTTAGTTATCTGTCTACTTAAATAACTGACAAAATATTTCATTTTTCATAGATTTGTCGTTGTTAGTGTTTTTCAAAATCACGGATTATTTTCAGTTAACGCTGGACGAAATGAAAAATGGGTTATTTTCTCCTTCAGATTAATATTATCGTTTTTTTGAACTAATAAACTTACTACTTATTGGAGGCGGACCACTGTCTACACTGCCACCATTTCCATCTTCTTCACAGTAAGGTGGTTTATAACCGGGTGAACAATGACAATGTCCTAAATTATTACAAATCTGTAATAAAGGTATTTGAAAATGGAAAAAATATAGAGGAATTTAAACACACAATTCAATGGTAAAAGATGGATAAAGATGAACCGAAGTGCGAGAGGAAATCACTAATAACATCCAATGCTAAAACAAGCACATTGACTGATCACTAAGATATGGCTAGTGTGTCATGTTTTTTTAATCATTAGTACCGACAGAAGCTTATGCATGAAAATGTAGATCAAATGGCACAATAGTAACGCCTCAGGATTGTGAAACTAAATGATCCGGGTTTGAATCCCTAATGGTTTTCTCAAGGTTGTGTGCGTGCCTTCTTGACGAATGGCAACCAGTATGAAACTAAGGTCTATGGATCCCTACCAACTGCCTACAACCATCTAACAATAGAATAAATGGTGTCAAATTTCCTTAATGCAGTATAAACACATAAATTAAATGTTTTGAGTTATACAGACTATTTAAAAGCTAGAGGTACTTAGTAATCGACTGTTTAAACTAAAAGGTAACCGAAAAGGTTGCTAAACAAATGCAAGTCCAATGTTGAAACTATCAAAAAAGACTCAAAACTGATGACGATGATAGATAATTATCACCATTATATTAACAAAATAATAATTTTATGTATCAAGCATTTTGTAACCGACACAGAAATTAATTAAGATTATTTTGAGCCGTTAATATTTATTTAATTACAGCCAAAAACATCTGTGATGCAACAGAATACATGAACATGAACGAATGAATCGATGTTGACTAAAGTAAAAGTAAAGCTTGTAAATAAAACATTGTTTCCGAATTGATTTTAATGGCGCAGATGTATTTACTATTCATATTCACTTAGAGTCTAAAGTTTTAAAATTATATTGTAATTTTTATTCCATGAAGTTATAATTCTCAAGTCACAGGCATTCATATAAATGTCACTCCACCAACGATCGAAGAAATCAGGATGACCATCAGACAAATCAAGGGTGGGAAAGCAGCAGGACCTGACAACATACTAGCTTAAGCACTGAAGTCAGACATCGAAGCAATTGCAAAGATGCTTCACAATCTATTCAGGAAGATTTGAGATGAAGAGCAAGTGCCGATAGACTGGAAAGAAGGAGACTTCAGCAAATGAGAGAACTGTAGAGTATCACACTACTATTGGTACAAGGAAAAGTTTTCAACAAAGTACCACTGAACCGAATGAAAGATTCAACAGAGGCTCAGCTTCAAGATCAACAGGTTAAATTCCGTAAGGATCGGTCGTGCACAAACCAAATCGCGACATTACAGATCATCATTGAACAATCAATTGGGTGGAACTCGTCACTATACATCACCTTCCTTTTTGTTCCTGAGAAGATCGTCAACCACATCCGAAATTCATATGACGGACTACAGTACAAAGTGGTGCATGTCGAACAGCTAACAGCTGTATTTCAAGTGAGAACCGGAGTCAGAAATAGCTGCCTACTCGCTCCTTTTCTATTTCTTCTGGTGGTTGACTTGACTATGAAGACCTCGATATCTGATGGGAAGCACGGAATAAGATGGCTATTTTGGATGCAACTAGACGATTTGGAATTGGCAGATGACACAGCAACAAATGCAGGTGAAGACAACCAGTGTAGCAGAAGCATCTACAGTAGTAGGCCTCAACAGACACAAAGGAAAAACGAAGATACTGAAATACAACACAGAGGACATCAACCCAATCACACTTGATGGAGAAACTCTAGAAGAGGTGAAACTTTAACGTGTTCAGCCTCAGTAATATTTCGGCATCTAACCAGAGCTCATGAAGAGCCTGCTCGAGAAAACTAGTCTGATTTTAAACCTAGACGTGGACGTATAGACGAAAAAAATTATTCCTTTGACAAGTTATAGAACACAGACATACTTTTCGACGTCCAACTATGGGTGGGTTCCTTGACCTTAAGACGACGTTGGACTCTGTTAGTTGTGAGTTTCTATGTCAGTGTCTACCATTGAAGGGTGTACCTGAGAAGTCAAATGCTGCTTTTAAGTCAAGAAAGACCACCATTGTCGGACGCCGATAAGTATGCCTGTGTTCTAGAACCTGACGAATGGTGAATATGTGGTCGATGCAGCCACAACCAGGTCTGAAGCCAGCTTGATTCTCTCGTGTTTGCAATTCACGAGTCTTAGTTAGGCGCCCAATAATTATTGAAGCTAGTATTTTAGATACTATATTAGTTAAACTAATTCCTCTATGGTTGTCATAGGACGATTTTGACCCCTTCTCATATATCGGGATAATAAGTGATTGCGACCAGCCAGATGAGATTACGTCCAACTCCCAGATTTTAGCAGAAATATTAGTCAACCTAATCGCTAAAATTGGACCACCATCCTTAAAGACCTCTGGAGCCAATCCATCTGGACCAGCTGCCATTCTTCGTTTCAGACTAACTATAGTCTTTTGAACTTCAGCTAGAGTTGGCGGACCTACTTCAATGTTCCATTCACACTGTCTGGAAATGGAGGGTAGTTGTAGAGTAGCTGAAGACCAGTTGAACTGTTCTCTGAAATGTTCCGCCCATCGTTCTAAACGTCTGGACTGAGAGCAGATGAGGCTGTCGTCTTTATCCGAAATAATCTCACTTACACTTGACTTATTAATTCCAGTTTCATTTATTAGTCTGTAGAGCAGTCTTGTGTTCCCTACAGTCGTCGCCTTTTCCATCTCTTTTGCCTTCGTTGCTTATCACTGCTCACGGTCGTCCCTTAGACTTTTGGTTAACCTAGGTCTGATTTGTTTTCGCTCTTCATCGTATTCAGGGCCCGATGGGATGAATTTACGAGAACCCATCAATGTGATAGACCTTGAAGAAATCCACTGGTTCTTTGTAACCCTGTGGTTTAAATCACTGATAGATGTCACTGCTGTTTCCACAGATGTTTGTATATCTTTCCAAGCAACATCTGAGCCAGTCTCGTTTTCAGAACTACCTAATTGTGACCTCAATTGTTCCTGGAACCTACTTTCGGTTTTCTCGTTACTTAGTTCACTTCTGATTAAATCTCGAAACTGATTCAGAAGGCTCTATTGGCTTTTATCAACTTGCTTCACTTATGGCGTAGGTGAGAAATACGTCTCCTGACCAAGGGGGGGAGTTTACTGTGCAACAGTTTGTTCTGTTTTACTTTATTATTTTGTTAAAGGCCATTTAGAATAGAGGATAATCGTATGTTACTGGTATTCGATCATAGGCGCGTACGAAGCGTTGCTCATGTACTTTGAGACCATGGAGGCAGACATGAAAATAATAAGTAGCAATTGAAGACAACTGGAAAGGAGAGCTTAAGACAGAGTTAGCTGGAGAATCCTGGTTGGCGGCCTATGCTCCACGAGTGGTAACAGGCGTAAGTAAGCATTGTTTTCGAAAACAGACAGCACCCGTCGTTAGATAATGGAAAATTACTGCTCTTACTTGAATAATTTGAAACATGGATATCATGAGCTTTACCGAATTGAAAAATTGTGGTTAGCTGTGAAATCGAGAACGAGTGTTTTGTCCTATTTGAGGCTGGAAGGCTGATTGTATGTGCCTGCATCCTATTGTTGATGTTCATATTAGGATTTAAACCCAGTGTCTTTTTCCCGATATACAAATCACGAGAAAATCAACAACACAATAAAGAAATGATTACATGATGTTTTTTACTTAGTCCAATGTGAAATAATATTTTAGGATCTCGTTTGTTTGTCTACAAGAAAGCGAATATTTTTTTATGACATGACTAAAGAAAGTTTTAAAATAATCGCAATAATATTATTACTAATAATAATGAATTTCGATATTGAATTTATTTATCTACAAGCAATGATCCATGTTGTATAATATTTTCTTTTCAAAAAAGAGTAATATTTAACTAACAATAAACTTACGCCACGACCATTGCAATAACATGAATACAGTGGACGAACATTATCGATTGTTTTACAAGTACCATTGTAACAAAACTAGAAAAGAACAATCAAAGGATGAGATATCTGGTCAATACTTCTGAGAAAATAAACATAAGATATGATTTATATTATTCTCAACTGTATCACCAATCAGAAAAGAATTTGGAAAAAACCAATACACTTTTCGATACATTTGTTAAATATGATTTCAATGTATTTTACATCACCATAAAATGATGTCAACTCAAATTAATTGTTTACTTACTTGATACACAAAAGCAAGTATAAATGGGCACCAAAATAGTAGATAAGGGTCACAACAAATAAGGAAATGACATCGTAAAGAAATGAATACAATAAATGAACAAGAAAACTGTGTAATAGAAGTCACAGTTCAGCTAAAAATACAAACAAGAAACACTTCTCCTGGTTAAGAGAGTTCCACTTTTATAAAGAGTGTAGAGGAAAAGTAAAACAGCATCGTCAATGTCTTCTCTTGTGAAGTATGTCTCATAACATCTTAAGCCATTTGGTTGTACCATTTGTAGGACACTAAATAGGTATTACTTTCATATCATGGTGCTATGTCGAGAACTGACCACTTCTTCACATTTTCCACCTCTAAGCGTTACCAAATAATCCTTTATATTTAAGCTGCTGTGATTATATTCGTACAACAGGTGGTCACCGAAGATGGTGCTTCAGAGCGGAATGTGTTGAATAAGTTAATCTATGCGTATCAATAACAATATGTATGGAAAGGAATATATATATATCGGGCTATGTAATGTAGAAAGCTTATACTTGGCTTTGGAAATGCCCGATCCCATCGGATCATCAAATTTGAGCAACGTTGAACTTGATTAGCGCTTGAATGGGTGACCGGCTGGGAGTGCCGAGTGTTGCGTGATTTTAAAAAGCTGAGCGATGGCTCAGTGGTTGAGAGGTTTTGAGTTTCAGCTACTTATTTCCAAGTTCGAACCCCACTCAGTCTTGAGCTGTGTGTGACACAAAGCTAATTACGTAAGGCTTTAATCTGGTACGTGAGTTGACTACATATTACTTAGCATCGTTGCAACCGACAGTTCCTTGGTAAAATGAAATTAATGAAATTCATTGTTTTCAGTAATTTGAAAAAAAACCCTATGAAATATTGCAAAAAACAGGAAATATTTCAGCGTACAATGGTTTTTGATAACTTATTCATTATGCTCTACAGTTATTAATCTAAAAATATTGTTACATTAAACAGAGTATTAAGGTATGTATCTAAATGTTCTAGTCAAATTAGTTAGTGCTATAAATTGGAAATATCCGAATTCACATCGATTAGCTATTAAATGCTAATGAAACGCATTTTATTAAAAATAGAAATAACTTTTTAAAATACTTGGACAATAACTTATATTTTCCTTTTTTTTAGCTTTTTTTTATACATAACGGTTCAGTTTTAAACATCTTGGTAAACAATGGCTCAATACAAATTTACACAACATGGATACATACATCCTAACCAGTTAAAGTAAGATTTTCAGTGCCTCGAGATTTGACTCCAATTTGGACGAACGAATAAATATTCCATGAACATAAATCTTCCGTTTAACTCCGTATATTAGACCTAGGATAACTCCGTTTGAGAGATGGTGTAAATAAGAAGATAAATACGGATGTATTTATTTCAGACTTTCGTTCACTCAGACATTAAGATGAGAAGCAGGAAGACAGGGGGAAAGAAGCCGATAAGGGAAGTATACCAAATCCATTTGGTGTAGCTTGACTCACTATTTTTAGCCAGACGAAAATAAGCTAAAGAAATGTGATGAAAAGGGTAGGCGATAAACACACATACGCCCTTATATAAGAACAGTTAAGGTTATAAGAGAGTAATCGATATGGTAAAAATATGACTCCCGTATATAGATTGATCTGTCTAGAAGCTTGAATAACTCAAGTAGACTTGACAGAGAACTGGACACTACATATTCATCAGGTTTACAGGCTGACTTAGATACGCAGGTGAAAACGTTAAGGTTTTAGTTGCACTAACCATTTGAAATATAGTATATAATGTATGTAACAAAACAATTGCTTATCATTGTATACCAACATGGTGTAAAAAACATCATTACTTTTTCTATTGGGTTTGATGAATTCTTTTTATTCGCCTCTTACCCAAGTTATCAATATCACGCTCATTTTTAGATTTTTGATTTATACCTCTTACAAAACAGTAATATTCAAGTTTAAATCAGGCAAAACGTTGAAATTACATAAGATATAGTTTTGTCGCTGAGATTTTAACCTATGGGCGACCTTTGGCGAAGATAAAGTGATCTTGAGAAAACTCACCAACTTAATAGGATCAAAAGAGGATTATCGATTAGTGTAAGGAATCAGAAATAGAATGCCGAGTTAGAAATTGGGTTGTAAATTAGGATTAGGGTTTTCACTGCGAACTGGCATTAGCTATAACATCAAAATGTTATTTAACCATATTGATAAATGAACTTGGCACCAAAATCCAAGACTTGCTATCTTTAATTTCATTTGTGAGTCTACAAATTATGGTTTTGCCGAAACATCTGTTAGAATATAGTCATATCGTGGTAATGAATCTTGAGCTGAGATAACGTAACATAAATAAGGGCATAACAAAATCTTAGAATGAAATGTTCCAAGTAAATATGTATATATGAAGGTATTTAACTGAGTGATTAAAAAAAAACACATCTCTGAGTGTTTAGGTTCAAATTTTTCGGTCAGTTACAATCAACGTAGAAACTGGCACATATGTGGGTTGACCTAAGTTTCAATACTATATAAGCACAACGCGATGAAATTAACAAAATAAGTAGAAAAGGAGGGTTAATCACGTCGTAGTAATAGTAATAAGAAAGAATAACAACTGAGAATATCGTACGAAAATGTGGAAATAAAAATATGTACGAAAGAGTAGTAAAATTTATGATTTAGAGAAATGTTAAGACGAATACATCAGGGTTGTTTTGATAGGTTTTAAATAAAAGGTCACAAAACGTCTCCAATCTGATAGTGTACACTTGTAAACATGGCTCAGACCAATGACTATGTGGGCTGATCTCACAACTTAGATTGATGTCCCCTCGGCTTTCGTCTAAAGTACTTCTACAACAGCCAGGATTGCACGAAGAGGTAGGAGTCAATGAGAATTCCCAACCTTACCAACTAACTTAATTTTGATATATCGAAAGTGGATGTAAAGAATACTGTAAAATACAGAAATAAGATTATGTTTGCACGTTCCCAACATTGATTTAAAAAACGCACTAAAACGTTTACTCTTATTTCACTCAAAAGTTTTCTATACACCTAATTCTTTCTCGATAAAAATTGTTTCGATCCATACAAATATATTGATATATGGGCTGAAAACTTATATCCGGAAGTACGTCAAACATCATGTCAAAATCGATATTCAAAATACCAACTTCTATGGCATTGACTCTGTGCTAAACCAGTCACACGCCAACCACCACTAGCAGTCTTCAGTCAACTCGCTTGACCCTGCTCGTTGAGTCCAGAACACAATATCTCCCTCCGCTGTATGAATCATATGCTTCAGACATACGTGGTTTATATACAAGAAGACTAGACCGCATCGCACCATCAAGTGAAAAATAATTATTATAAAAGATCAAGCCAAAAGAGGTTCAGTATAAAAGATTGTGGACAACAGATCGGGAATAAATTAAGGATGGTAAATCGTACAATGGTAGCTAATGGGTCAAATGAAAGCTTATGATAAAAGGAATATGAATATATGTGTAATCTAGTTACACAATAATTATATGATAAGAATATATGTAGTAATAGTCCATAAACAATTCCTAGCAGTTACAATTCATTTATTCTTTGTTCGGACATGACACTTCATATACAGAAACATAACTCCTGTTCCGTTAAGGTAATAATAGGTAGGACTTACCTGATAGAGGTTATAAACTGCATGAGAATGGAATCTCCTCACTCTCGACAATACCAGGGTATTTGGATGCTAAATAGTAATCAGTAAAACTCATACAAATTTCCATAGTTTAACTGTCAAACCGAATGTTCCCCTCTTTCTCCAGTACCATATACATACTCTTGGTAATATATAGCTTTGTGGTCTATCAAGGTTTACGAGTACTTACTAGACATAGATACCCCACAAGTAAGATAATTATCTACTGTACTAATAACCTAAACTCCAAATTTTGATTTGGTGATAGAGAAACTATGTTGTTGTGGCTACAGGATCTTGCCCCAGCATTAAACCAGCTTTAGAACTTTAATGTTTTAAGCCCCTATGTAAGAGTGAAAACTACCCAACCATATAAATATATATATATATATAACAATGATATAGTCAACCAATTGAACCAGCTTTAGAACTTTATTCAAGTTAAGGAGTTTGTTGCATTCATTTAAGATAAAGTCAATTTACGTGTAGGCACCCAAACCTGAAGGTCAGTGATGTTGCACAAGAAAGGTTAACTTTTGAATCAATAACATTCAAACAACTGAATGCGTAAATCTATGGATAACTTCAGTTAATAGTAATAATTGTATTTTGAAAGATATTATTATAACGTTATTAAACTTACGCCTCGAGAACAAGGTGTCCCATCAGGAACCATCCCAGCATCTTGTGTATTTGCTGAATAAAGTCCAACACCTGCACCATTCGCATTAATTTGAACTAATTTGTTCTCGTCCCAAGTGGTAGGATCTGAAGCCGGCCAAACTGGATCATATACTAGTGCAGAACATGATCGACCAGATGAGTGGATAACACGTGTTTGTGACTGAATCCAACCGAGAAGCATAGCTTTTTCATTTTGATGATGACACCATAATCGTCCACAGGACGTATCATGCCTGAATGAAAGAAAAAATTCTCTAACTTGGTGGAGAAATGAAATAAGCTAAAATTAACATTGAATATGAAATAAGTACAAGTTAACGAAGAATTTTTTTTCGACATCACTTATTGATACTATACGATCGTGCCCACAGTGATGAAACAAATATAATTCCTTCCGTTGTGTTATAGTCTGATCAATACAAACAATCCGGCTTTTGGTTGAAAAGTGGCTTCAAAGTCACGCTGTCATTGTATATCACCATACAAAAAGAGAAAATCAATCATATAAATAAATAAATATTCGAAATAATTGTGGTATCAATGATTGTGAAAATGATAAAGCATAAGGGATACGTTTGTGAAGAGTTGTATTATCCTCATGTTATCATTTAGGACTATTATCTTATGACTCTGTTGGAATATGTAAATCGAGTGAGGATGACTTGATTTCATGTACAAATACAAACTTTTGGTATATATTAACATTCAAGTTAGAAAAGAAATCCAAAACATAGATATGAAGGGATGGGTAGGTAGATTGAGTTTCAATGTGAAACGCAAACACATTCAACTGATGACCTTCCGAATAGTGTCAAAAATACGTATCCTGTATTATGCTACTATCTAGAATTGTAATATATACCAAAAATGAAGAATATATTCATTTATACCACTGAAAAGAGTTTCCAAATATCTCACGCAGCATTTCATTTACATCAATTAGAAGTTTGTCGGCTTATGCATTCTCACTTTGAGTCACAAAGTGACTCAAAAGATGAAGATTGGACTATATCACGCAATAGATGAACTTATCATTGTTTAGTTCAGGGACAAATTCATAGAAATCGGTGCTCTGATGGGTGGTTTTGTCACGTGATAATTTTTGAGAGGACATAAGTCATAAAATAATGTGGTATTCCTAAAAGACACCACAGTACTCCCCCACCTTGCTTATGTATAAAGTTACAATTAAAACCGAAATCGAGACATTCTTATAAGTAGTCATTAGTGGCGAAGCGACGAAAACTGATCAAATGGAATCTGGAACTTAATAAATGATATTCATATCCGTAGGAATAAACGACCTACAAGTTTGTTCTAAATCTCTGACATATATTTTTTAAGACCAATCTACTCTTAAATTACAGTAAAACCAATTAAAAAGAATAACGAATTATAAGAAAAAAGGAATATGATGAACTACCAAAATTACCATGTTTCACAAGCTATTCCTGTCCACGTTTTTGCATCTTCCCATCGATTTTTAGATAATGGTCGGTGTACGCCACAATTTGCTACAGAATCGACATTAGATTTTTTACTCTTTACTTCATTTTCATAAAAGCAATATTTATCAGCAAGTCTGGCAGTTTTACCCCATAATACACGACACCAACCATCTGCTTCACGACAACCACCACGAATACAATGAGCCTTTGATAATGAAAAGAAATCGACAGAAAATAATTATATTTTTTTTAAAAAAAATCAAGCATTGTGTTCTTCTGGAATAACGATTAAGTAATGGCAAAGGAAAAATCCAAAATACTTTGTTAACATTTTGGTCAGTTCACACATTAGGTACGTATGTGATGTAATGTAGATTTTTTGGTAAACAAGGTAAAGGTGTAGTGAAATGTTGTTTTACTACCAAAATACTGAAAATACCATAATTAGTGGCTAAGATGCTTGATAGAAAACAAAGTAGCAACCAATTTACACTCAGAAACAATCATATAATGAGAATGATGACAACAGTGGTGAATCGATTGATTTCAATGAGAATTCCTTCAGAAAATTATTTCATAATGACGATGGTTAGATTTGTAGAGTAGAAAAAAGAAGGAATAACGGCCTAAGGCGACTTGCCAGCCAATCAGGAAACGCTAGATTGTTTAAAAAACAATTAACAATAAAAAAGCAGTAAAATAACGGTGAAATAACATCTTTTATCCAAATAATTAACCCAAACATCCCAAATTATTCTTTGCAGTAAAGGATAGTATTCCGAGTTATGGTTATCACCCTATAGAATTTTCATTGCTACAAAACATTGGTTACACTCTACAATAACAACGACCCAATGACTCATAAAAACACCTGTAGACAAATTCCTGAAGAGCGAAAACGCTGCACGGAAAAATACTTGATGATTGCTTTTGAAAAGGACGGCTACCCACCCAACTCGAAAAAATATCAATCGAACCCAACAGCAAAAACCAAATGGAATAAAAAAACCAACAAACGGATCATCCCACGATATATAAAGAACAAATCAGAAGTTACAACAAGATTATTGATGGAACTCAGATCATCAGTATGGGGGTTGTGGAGATTGTTAAGTTTTTGGTTGAGATCATGAATTAATTGATGTTAGACCACCGTTGGAAACCTGGAAGCACTGGACGGCCGTTTCGTCCTAGTATGGGACTCCTCAGCAGTGCGCACCCACGATCCCGTGGGGTGCGGGATGGGGTCAAAGAGGGAGACAATCAAAATAAAGATTCAATAACAGGATACAGATTAATAATAACCAATCAAACTCAGGGTCTGCAGCATAAGCTGTGAGTTATATGTGCAGAAATTCGAAAAGCTCATTTCTACCTGAAGTATGCGCTAACGACGTTATTCAGAAGAACAACGAAAGTTTATCAATTAAATCATGTAGCTCAGAGAATGAAACCCTGTCAACAAATTGTTAACTGAAATCTATCTTTACTGTGTAACTCAGTTTTTTACCTAATAGTTTTCTGTCAAAGCATGAACCTTTCACCAATTTGTGAGGAATTAAAATCATACGTAGAATCTACATGATTAATCGAACGAATAACTAAATTCTATTAAAATGAACTGATTCTTATTCATTTGGATATTATCTTGTTTTTAAACCAAATAATATCCAACATTTAATTAAAAGCGAGTATCTGTGTATTTCATGTGAATAGCATCATCCGTTCTAAAACTAATGGATTTCTACAAACTAAATTTTGTACAGCTATTTTCGACACCACGATTATTCTAAGAGAAATTTGATTGGTTGTTTATTTTCTTGTAGGGATTTTGAGTGGTCAGTGCTACTAAGGACCGTAATTGAGGAATTTTCCACAACTTCTCTGACGCCATACTCATAATTAAAGGTTACAGAAAGAAAAGCTTTTTTAAATATTGTTTTGGTGAATAACCACTTTGAGTTTAATCTCCTTGTTTAAACAACTCAAAACTGCAAGGTATATTAATTAACGTAATTGAAACAGCACACCTAGTAGTAAATGTAATCAATTACCCACTAAAATTTATGAAATCGGTTCAGATTCTCAAACTTAGTTTAGTTTTTAATCAAACGCGTCACTCATTTTTTCGCGATGGTGATTGAAAGGAAAAAAACAGAATTATATCCATACATATAATGACTAAAACACTTTTGATTAATAGGAAATTCTGAAAAAATACGTTTGAGGAAACAAGTTAGAAATATGCAAATGTACGACGTGATCCATATGTATTCTAAAATAACCGGTATGCCAATAAGGACTGTATGGACAGTGTATTATCGATCGAACCAAAGACGCGTAAACACGTAAGAACGGCCTAGAGTCCTGATTGGTCCCGCTTTCCTGTCTAGCCCAGCCAGTTGAGTCCAGAACGTAAGTCTCAGCCTTTGAGATATAAATCATTGTATTTCAAGTATACTCTGTTTATATACCAATCAACCCGACCACAACGTATCAACAAAATAGAAAATAACATTTGTACAATAATTAGCCAGAAATGGCTGTGAATGAGGGAGGTAGCGATTAACAGATAGGGAACAATTCATGAATGGTAAATCGTACAATAATAGTTCATAGGTCAACATAAAGCTCATAATAAGAGGAGCATGAATATGAATAGTTTAGTTACATAACAATTATACGATAAAAATATACTCATAATATTGGTCCATAAATGGATCCCAAAAATTACCATTCATTATTCTCATTGGGATACAACACTGATAAATACCGAACCTGCACTTTTCAATCAAACTCCGTTAAAATTTGGTACTCTATTTGTCTACGAGAAGGAATTATCAATCACTAATTCATTAAATTGACTAAGTTTCAAACAAAAAATATCACTGCTTCATTAAAGCAATTCATTTACTAAATGTTTTTCCTTGTAATTGGTGGGGCTTTAGGGTATACTGTTTATGTGATGGCTATTGATACTACTACTACTGTTACCACAACTATTACTATGCGGTTGTGGAAACTGAATAGGGTATAATAAGGTTCAAATTAGCGACATATATGTTAAAATTTGAGTGGTCTAATCACTAAACAATTAATGCCTAACTCTTAGAGGATAAATTTTACCACAGGAGACTAGGAAAAACATACATAAACAAATAAATGATTGATTGGATGATCAGTTTGAAATACTTTGTTTTCTTTACCCCCCCCCTCACAAAAAACATAAAGTTCTGCTAATAACAGAAACCAATTGGTATGAAAAGTTAGCACTGATATGACCATTCATTGTGTATCAGCAGGGACTACGATTTTGTTGTTAATGCTTAAAGTACAAAATAGTTTAACCATCGATCAGGTTAATTATTATGCAGATAAACATAAATAGAGAGAAATAATAAAAATAGGACACAAGTCAGTTCTTGTTTGTGTTACTGTGATTATATTACTGTTATCATCCTTGTTATGACAAATGTTGTTGTTTCTTTTCATTTAGATAGAGAAGTGGACCAGGAAAAATATCACATAACAAGCATACCTGGTTTAACATTGATGGCTAAATTTGTAGTAGGTAATTTGTCGAAGATTGATGTCAGTTGAGACATTAAAAAACAGGAAGCACCAACACGGTATAAAATTAATGAGATAAAGTTTTTAGAATCCATACATCGATAATAAATTACTGTGCCTACCATGAGACGAGTTGTTGAAGTTTAAGTAAGAAGATGTGACCGGTAAAGTTCAGATATATTACGAGCGAAACAGTAACCAACAATGATATTGGATGATTGTCGCACGATATTATGAATTGATTGGAGTTGGATATGCGTATCGTTGAATGTCGATTCAATAACATAATGGTTGAGGGCTTTCAACGAAAACTGTGAGTTAGACCCTTGAGAGGAGCTGTGGGTGTTTATGCTTGAGATGTCCAACACTAAGATCATATAACTGACTAGTACACATTGGTTCTTATTAATAACCTAATTGATATTAATCTGTGACAAAACTCCTTCAACAGTTATTAGGACAAGAAATAAAATGGAATGGATAACTGAATATAGAGAGAAGCAAAAAAGACAAACATAAAAAAACACGATTGGGAAAATAACGAAGAAAGCATTAAATTATGTAGATTTCCTGTAATAATAATTTTTGGCAAACAGTTCAACTGCATTGTCGAAAAAACATCAAGTCAGCGTGTTACATATTCACTGTAATTTATAATTTCAAGTTATAGATAAAACTCATAGCATATAGAAAATAAATTCACCAAACAGAATAAACTGTTTTATTGAGTATTCATTTCTTAATAGAATCCTATAATTAATTTTAAACTGTTCGAAATATTGATGAAGGAACATTGTTCACTGTTAGAGATTTGAAAATACTATGAAAACTTAATTGAAAGTAATACATAACAGCATTATGACATAAATGTAATTCAATTATAGTTATTTAAATTATTACTATTATGTTGAAAAAGTAGTTACAAAAGGCGAAACTTTGATAATGATCAGTCAAAAAAGCTTCAATTTGCAGAGGGATTAAGATATCACCTAGGACTGACGAACGGAACGAAAGTCAGCGATACAACAATACGACAAGCTAAGCGATTCCTCTGAGCGCCAGCCCGGCTAACGAGATGAAGAAAACCACATTTAGCCAGAAAAATATATAACTGTACAAGCACACCGGAAGAACGAACGAACAAGTGGGGGACCATGAAAGCTCGCTGCTAAGGAGTCAAATACCAGGACGAAACAGTCGTGGAGTGCTTCCAAGTTTTCAATAGTGGTCTATATTAGATCGACTCGTGAATTCAACTTTGAAAATACTACAATATCCAAAACAAGCACACAACTCATGCGTGTATGTACAATACAAAAATGTTGAAAAATGTCACAAAATAGCGTACTGAAAGAGAAAATGAACCAATGAAATTTAGGTTCCTTCTAGGTGGGAAACACAAGTTGATTGTAAAAATGCGCACTTTTGGTGCGAAAATGAGAAATCCCGATTTCTACAATAAAATTACAGAAATGAGAAGTTTACCAAGTGATTTTTGGAGGTCTAGCATCTACAACACTTTTTTATTAAGAAATTCTTTGAAAGTTCAACAAAAACGCCACAGAATTTAAATCAATCAATAACAACAAGACAGGACGAGTGAAAGCGTGGCAAATAACATAATAATAAAGATAG